TCCCAGCTACTCAGGAGGCTGAGGCAGGCAAATTGCTTAAACCCAGGAGGCAGAGGTTCCAGTGAGCCGACAACGTGCCATTGCACTAGAGCCTGGGCAACGAGAGCGAAACTCCGTCTCAGAAAAAAGAAAAGAAGCTCCCCCAAGTGCTGCCGCTTCTGTGGATCATGACTTGGTGGTTCTTTGGGGACCATGGATATGAGTAGCTTTTAGGAGCTTATGAGCTCACTAAAACGTATGCAGAAGTTTCAGTGTGGCATTTTTCTTCTTGATCATTTCTGTTCGTAATTTTTCTATCAGTCATTTCAGTCAGCATCATAATTCACGTATCTTGCTTTAGGTGGTATTCCTAGTGATGACGACCAGGCGACTGGGTTGGAGAGGGAGATCATGTTGGCTGCAAGAAAGGGACTGGTGAGAAACTCCCTTCTGTGTCTTCCGTGGAGCTTATGGTCTTGTATGTGTTCATAATAGTCTCCTCTCTGGGAGTATTTGATCCAGGGAACTTGGCTTGTAGGAACACCCTGAGCTTCTGGAAGGTAGGACTTATTTGGCATAACGGTTCAATTCTTTTTTTTTTTTTTTTTTTCAGGACCCATACAATATACTGCCCCCAAAGGGAGCTTCAGGCACTAAGGAAGACCCTAATTTAGTCCCTTCTGTCAGCAACAAGAGAATAGTGGGCTGTATCTGTAAGTACCTCACCTCTATTTCTTTATCCACTTAATATATATCCCACAATACAGGAGTCTATAAGCTGCTTCAAATCTTTTAGTGTGTGAATAAATGTTTGTAAATGAGTTTCTCTATGGGTCTTGTTCAAGCCTCATTATGTTCATCCTTACTGGAAAGCGCAGCACAATGGAAAGACTGGCTCAGTGGAAGTGTGGCATGAAGTAGTATCCACCCAGCAAATATTTATTGTTATACTGTTTCTATGCCAGGCATTGTTTTAGACAGAAGGGATACATACCAGAATGGACCCTCCTTTGTGTTCTACATGGGCAAGGGAATTGTTAGAATTTACAGTGAGCCTTGGCTGGGTGCTGTGGCTCACACCTGTAATCCCAGCACTTTGGGAGGGCGAGGCAAGCAGCTCATGAGGTCAGGAGATCCAGACCATCCTGGCTAACATGGTGAAACCCTGTCTCTACTAAAAATACAAAAAATTAGCCGGGCCTGGTGGTGCACACCTGTAATCCAAGCTACTTGGGAGGCTAAGGTAGGAGAATCACTTGAACCTGGGAGGTGGAGGTTGCAGTGAGCAGAGATGGCACCACTGCACTCCGGCCTGGGTGACAGGGCGAGACGGAAAAAAAAAGAATTTACAGTGACCCTGATATAAGGTCATTTTACTTATAGGTGGACTCAGAGCCTCAATTTCTTCATCTGAATAATGGGAGGAGGGCTTGAACTGATCTCTTGACCATAGTCCGTCTTGTGTATCAGAGGTGGCTGAGGAAAACAAATTCATGCTGAAAGTCTCCCTTTCTATACCGAATGACTCAACCACCTTTTTTCCCTTTTAGGTGAAGAGGACAACAGTACCATCATCTGGTTTTGGTTGCACAAAGGCGAGGCCCAGCGATGCCCTAGCTGTGGAGCCTATTACAAGCTGGTGCCCCACGAGCTGGCACACTGAGCGCCTGCACTGAGTTACTCAAAATATGATATAAAACTTCTTTCCAATAAAGACTAGCCATTGCATTGGCTTCTTCTCCCATAGACGGCTGTTCTTATCTATTTCTTGTATTTTTTGGTAGGCATGGAATATTCTTATTTTGGGAATAGCTATCTGTTAATGCTAGCTTGCCATCACTTACTGAAAGTGGATGACCAGTGTATAGTGCTTAGATTAATAATAAGAATGGATTGACAAACCATGATGCAATGAATGGGACCACGTGGTATGAGGGAAAGGGGTGGGCTGTGGAGTCAGGCTGACCAGACCTACAATATTGGCTCCATCATTTGGCTCTACCCCTGTGGACATGTTCTCTGGCGTTCAGGTACAACTACAAAAAAGGTAAATGCCTTGTGAGGTGCTTAATATGTAAAGAGCCTAGCAGATGGTAGATCTTCATAGTATTATCATAGAGGCAGGGTAGCCTTGTGAAGAGAGTGTTGGGGATTTTGAAGTCTTGAGGGACCCAGGTACAAAATAAGAATTCATGGGGATACCAGCAGCAAAATTCAGAATATGGAACAATTTCAGAAATCACTGAGCATGTTTCTTCAAATAAATTGCAAGGAGCAGAGGGAAAAGGTAGGGAGAACATGTAGCGAAACAGAGAAGGGAATCATAACAGCAGTGAGCAGGCCTTGTTTGGATCTGATTTGAAAATAATTATATGGGGAAAAGAATTCAGAATTTGAACTCTGGATATTTGATATGTAGACATTTTTTACACTTACAGGTATTTATATAGTTTTTTTTTTTTTTTTTTTTTTAAATGCTTTAGAGATACACATGGGAGTAAGGGAGGGGAGAAATGCCAAAAAAGCCCACTTCAGCTACTTTATACCTGTGACACCTTGGGACAAGTTAAAGTCTCAAAAACCTCTTATCTACAAAATGGAAATCCTTTTCATTTTGTGTGGAGATTAGTCAGAGGTGGCTTCAGTGACTATATTCACAAAATTGGTACAAACTGGGTATTTCAGTGGGAGCTAATAGGAGTGTCAAAGGAAAGCCCATTCCCCTCATCTTACCCATCTTGAAGGTGCAGTCAAAGCTATTGCTTTCATCCTTGTTGGTGACCTCTGTTTCCGGATAATGCCCAAGCACTGATTTGCCATTTCAGGCCTTTTCCTCTGGGAAGGGGAGCTCTCAGATAACCACCTGTGAAATCTAACCCCTACAATTCCACCTTCCTGAAGACTAGTCTGTGCTGTCACTAAGCCCTCCTGTATGGCTGGTCTGCCTTTCCCTTTCCATATGTCTTCCAACTCAAAACTGCTGAGGGGAACTTTTGAGTCCCATATCATTAATCCAGTCTGTTTTCTCCCTCCCTCATCTCCAAGTCTATGCTTTTCTCTCTTTCTAAAATTTTAACTAATTTACTTGTAAAGAAAAATAGGCTAGGCATGGCAGCTCATGCCTGTAAACCCCAACACTTTGGGAGGCTTAGGTGGGAGGACCACTTGAACCCAGGAGGTTGGGGCTTCAGAGAGCTATGAGCATGCCACTGCACTCCAGACCAAAAAAACAGTATCTTGCGGTGGGACCCAGGCTTCAGAAGTCTGAAGTTCTCCATGTGCCTCCCAGCAAGGCTGAGAACTGCTTTAGGCTAACCATATGAAATAGCTTGCTTCCTTCCCTCATAGTAACTGGGAACCGTAGTGATAGGGAGGAAATACAATGTTCCCCACTAGGTGGACAAAACTTTTGCTCTTGGGTATAAGTGAGCTCCATCTGAACCTTTGGCCACTTAGCTTAAATTGGATGCCATCTCCACTTAACCAAGAATATAGGCCTCACTCTAACTGTACTTATTAAACTCTCCAAGTATACAATGAAGAACTTTTTCCCAGGGCCATTTGAAAGTAAGTTGATCTGATGTCCCACCACACACGTGTATTTCTTGCATTCTCTTAATACCCACAACATGACTATCAAAATCAGGAAAGTACGATTTGTATATTTCTACCATCTAATCTTCAGACTCATTCAAGTTTTGCTTAAAGATCCAATAATGTCTTCTATAGCAAAAGGACCCAGCTTGGAATCATGTGTTGCCCTTAGTAGTTCCTTCTGGAAAAGCTCCTTTCTTTCCTTGACTCTCCTGACATTTTGAGAACTATATCAGCAACTTGAGTTTGCTCACACTGGATTTGGGTTATGCATTGTGGGCAAGGGATGCTGCATCCTCCCAGGAGGCACATGATGCCGACTTGTCCATTGCTGAGGAGGTTCACTTCGGTCACTTGATGAAGCTAATGTCTGCCAAACTCCTCCATTGTGAAGTTGCTCTTTATTTTTGTTTTGTTGCTCTTTAATTATGAAGTATCTTATGGTGCAATACTTAGAAATGTCAATACTGGCCGTGTTAGGTGGCTCATGCCTCTAATCCCAGCACTTTGGGCGGCCAAGGTGGGCAGATCATCTGAGGTCAGGAGTTCAAGACCAGCTTGGTCAACATGATGAAACCCCATCTCTACTAAAAATACAAAAATTAGCTGGGCATGGTAGTGGGTGCCTATAATCCCAGCTACTTGGGAGGCTAGGCAGGAGAATTGCTGAAACCCAGGAGGCGGAGTTGCAGTGAGCCTAGATCACACCACTGTACTCCAGCCTGGACAACAGAGCAAGACTCCACTAAAAAAAAAAAATGTTAACACCTTGTTCCTCATCAAACTTTCAACTTACTAACTTAACAGTATGGATTCATGCTTTCTTATTTTATTCAGTGGATTATAACCCATGGCTATCATTATGTTTTGATGTTTAATTTTTTGCAAATTTGGTCAGTGGGAACCTCTTCAAGCTGGCTTCTGTGGTCCTTTGACATGCCCCTATCATTCTTTGAGCATTTATTTTTATGTTCTGGAATAAAATTTTCCAGGCACAGCTTCCAGGCTGTGAATAAACCCATGAGGAAGGTGTTATTATTACCACCCCATAATAGAGATGGGAAGTCTGAGGACAGCTCAGGAATACACAGCAGTTTCTGGTGGCAAGATTGTGAACCCAGACCATAGCTCCAGACCCTGAGCTCTTTCCCCCAACCCAACTTTTAAATTTTTTATTTTTTTTTAAACAGGGTCTCCATCACCCAGGCTGGAGTGCAGTGGTGTTCATAGCTTACTGCAACCTCAAAATCCTGAGCTCAAGCAATCCTGCTGCCTCGGCCTCCCGAAGTGCTGGGATTACAGGCATGTACCACCACACCCACCCCAATTTTCTATTTTAAAATAATTTTAGACTTAGAGAAAAATTGCAAAAAATAGTACAGAGTTCCTGTTTACCCTTTACTGTTTTCCTTAATGTTAACGTCTGGCATTACCATAGTATAATTATTGAAACCAGGAAATTAACACTGATGCAGTACTATGGACTAACCAGCAGATCTTATCAGAATTTTGCTGGTTTTCCTGGTAAAGTCTTTTTCCAACCCAGGATCTCACATTGCACTTGGTCTTTCCTTGTCCCATGACCTGCCACTTTTGAACAAGACAACTCTATTCATTTGTAGACCACCCTCAGTTTGGGTTTGCCTGCTGCTTGCTCCTGGTTAGATTGAAGTGATGCAAGAATACCACAGGCGAAATCGGGCCCCTCTTAGTGCATCATTAAGAGACTATGACTGATTACTGGGTGTGGTGGCTCATGCCTGTAATCCCAGCATTTTGGGAGGCTCAGTCAGGCAAATCACTTAAGGTCAGGAGTTCAAGAACCAGCCTGGCCAACATGGTGAAACCCCATTTCTACTAAAAATACAAAAATTAGCCAGGTGTGGTGGTGTGTGCCTATAATCCCAGCTACTTGGGAGACTGAGGCAGAATTGCTTGAACCTGCGAGGCAGAGGTTGCAGTGAGCGGAGATCTCACCACTGCACTCCAGCCTGGGCAACAGAGACTCCATCTCAGGAAAAAAAAAAAAAATGACTTATGGCTGGACTCAGCTCATGCCTGTAATTCCAGTGCTTTGGGAGGCTAAGGCAGGAGGTGTACTTGAGGCCAGGAGTTCAAGACTAGCCAGGGCAACATTGTGAGACCCCCATCTCTATTAAAAAGATAACAACAACAACAACAAAACGAACTAGCAGGGTGTGGTGGTGCAAGCCTGTAGCCCCAGCAACTTGGGAGGCTGAGGCTGGAGGATCCCTCAAGCCCAGCAGATGGAGGCTGCAGTGATCCATGATCATGCCACCACATTCCATTCCAGCCTCAGCAACAGAGATCCTGTCTCTTAAAAAAAAAAAAAAAAAAAAAAGAGAGACAATGACTTATTATTTGAGATGTATACTATGATTATTTGGTTAAGGTAGTATTGACTAGGCTTCTCCGACATAAAGTTACTATTTCTCCTTTTCTAATTCATAAGCATCTTGTAGAGGCATACTTTGAGACAACACAAATGTCCTTACTTTTATCCACTGATTTGTGTCTCCTCCATTCTTGCCTGCGACAATAATTACTGTGGTGTTTGCTCAATGGTGACTTTCTTTTTCTACAATTCCTTTGACATTAATTGGAATTCTACCTAAGGGAGAGCTGTCCCTTCTCCCCCATGTATATATTTATTCAGGGCTAGGAAATGCATGTATATACACAAATGTGTTTCAGTATCTACTTGTATGTATATTAAAACCATGAGTTCATACTACCTTCAACTCCAATCCAACACAGGCTTCATTCCAGCTGCACTGCCTTCCTTATTCGCATGAGTACGACTCACACACTTATCATGTTACTGATTTGAGCATTGGATGCTCCTTTTAGTTGGTTCTTGTGTCCATTAGACAAACCCCTTCTTTTTTCACTTCCTTATGTTATCATACCATAGAATATTCCAAGCTCATCTATTATTTTTTTCTGTTCCAGGGAATTGTCACAGGGGAAATGTAATGTCCCCTACTAGGAAGAGCAAACCTTTGCTCTTGAGTGGAAGTGGCTTCTATCTGAGCTTAGCTTAGAAAATGGAGCCCATTTCCCCTCATCAAGGAAGAACATAGGACTCACCCTAATGGTATTAAACTATTGACAAAGAATGAAGAACTTTT